TATTCAACTATTTAGTCCCTCCACCGTGACAATGAATGGAGGCGGATATTACAATGTACGTAGCATTGCGAATATAAAATATCTAGATTAGGTATAATAAATTCATAATTCATAGGCCGTTACGGTATCAGAGCCAAAGTCTTCTTTCTTTGTTTATGTACTGTTAGATGCGACAGCGACTTTGTTTTTATATTACTATGTAATGATTGATATACCTAAAATAAATAAAATATCTGAGGTTTGGACAAAAATTCAAAAGGTACTTAATTTTTAAAAAGTATTTTGAAAATACCTATTTTGCATTTAGTATTTGAAATACAAAACACAAAACTATTTTTGTTTTTAGAGTGACATTTCTATGAATTCACTGTCGATAGCGAGCGGTGCGATGGAAAAAGATAACCGTTTATAAAAATATAATAAATAACCCTGGACAATTAACACAGACTGATACTGAACTGATATAAATAGATATTTTTATTTTGTAAATACATATATAATATACATATAAAACACCCAGACCGATGAAAACAATCGATGACCGATGAGTACAAATGTTTGCATCGTGCGAGAAATCGAACCCGCGACCATCGGATGTAAAGCGGTGTGACCACCGAGGCAGTCGAAATATATAAATAATCTTATGAATTTAATTTATTCTAATTTGTTTGTGTGCGCGGGGTGCGGTGTACGGTGCTCCCCCCTGCCTCCACCGTTGCTGGAGCTTGCATGTATGGAGCATTGCGAATATAAAATATCTAGATTAGTAAATTCATAATTGATAGACCGTTACGGTATCTATATATATTCGGATTAAAATAAGTATCGCAGTAAGGACCAGTATATAAAGTGATCAACACAATTAACTGATTTTTGAAATATATATAAAGAGCCAAAAAGTCTTTGTGTATTCAAAAAATATCTAATTTGTTTGTGTGCGCGCGGTGCGGTGTACGGTGCAGGGGGGACCCTGCCTCCACCGTTGCTGGAGCTTGCATGTATGGAGCATTGCGAATATAAAATATCTACATTAGTAAATTAATAAAGTCATAATTGATAGACCGTTACGGTATCTATATATATTCGGATGAAAGTAAGTATCGCAGTAGGGACGAGTATATAAAGTGATCAACATAATTAATTGATTTTTGGAATATATTCAGAGCCAAAAAGTCTTTGTGTATACCAAAAATTTAGCCGTTCGGAGCCTCAGTCACGAATTATTAGTAAAAAAAATATATATATATATATATATATATATATATATATATATATATTTATAAAATTCAAAACACAGCAAGAAATAAATATAATAATTGTACTATCAGAGTTAAGTACTATTTCCACTGAGAGTTTCACAGCTAATCATGAGATAGCATTTAAAATGTCTTTAATATGTAATATTATGAAATATAACATGTTATGTAGCTTGTATCAGTTTATGTCAACAGTATACTGTGTCTATCTATATTAATATGCTTTATTAATTCATTAATAAACACATATCAAAGTATCAACCAATATAATATATATATGACAGTATCTCAATTTGGGAATATAACCACAATCAAGACATATACCTGGACTATGCCTGTGATTGTCATTTATCTGAAATGGGATCATCAAACATATATGTATACCTATGTAAAGAAATAACAATTCTTCAATTCAATTCACGTAGAACAAACACACAAAACTGAACAGTAAGTTTGACTAATTTACTGTGAATTAGCAACAAACTCAGCAATACCATTACACTGTTTATATGTATAACATGGTACGTGTTCTCATGTTCAACCTGTATGTCAACATAGTTAATGTGACTGTTTCCAATCTGTTGATATCCTATCATACTCTATCATAGGCATTAATAACATAACAATAGTTACTCTGTATTTTAAACTAATTAGATATCCATGTTGTTTTATACTTAATGTATTCATAATACTTCTTTCTTAGGTATATTGTATACCTCAATATCGTGCTACATGTCATGTCATTACTCTCGCAAGTTATCGTACATACTAAATCTATTTAATATGTAGAAAGCAATTCATCCAAAAGTTCAATAAAACAAGTGAGATACTGCGTTTAATGGTATGCGTGTTATTAACGTAAATTCACTTACCACAACTTCTAGTCAGAATTACCTTACGGTCGAATTTGTAGGCGGGATTGGTACCGCTTCTGAACTTTTAAAATCACTAGTATCATGACGACTTAGGCGTAATGCCGGTTAGTCAGGGAGAGAAACACCTCAATGCCTACAATATTCACAATTACCTATCTCTTATTTGTTTTTATAATAATATAAACACTTTCGCTCCAAAACTCCCGCTGCCTACGTTCAATCATCCGTCATCCACTTGTCAATGTCACATAGATTACTTTGGCTCTGGCCTCTGACGTTCCGTTTCAGGTTACATGATTATTGACTTTACCATTTTTAATTAATGGTGCGTCACACGATAGTTAACAGTTATGTATTCAATATTTTTTCTTTTTGAGTATTTAATTGAATTAGTACTAATTGGTGGTTTGTATTCACACACTTAAACTTAAAAATGTAAAGTAATAATAAAATTATTTAAAAGAGCAACACGCAAGTTTCTTGCTCGTTCTTCTTGTGATGAGACAGCTTTCCGAACGAATGGTAGATTAAAAAAAATGTGATGACTATTCAAAAGTGCTTCAATGTAAGTTTATTTGAATAAATGATTTTCTATTCTATTCTTATTCTATTCTATACGGGTGTACTAGTAATAAACCTTTTTTACTTTAAGAAAATTTACATGGATTACCACTGTTATTGTCAAATACCTTTTTTTATGTTTTATGACTTTGATTACGTGACCTTTTGAGAGTCCTACTTTAACAAGTACACTATATTCGAAGTTTTACTTCTGTTTTCTATCTCCGCCAAAGTTAATTACAACTGTTTCATTCTTTAAATGTTTCCACGTCCGCGTTTACTCTTAACAATTATTTTAACTGTGCTCTTACACTACGACAGAACAATGTCTGTCGAGTCAAGTCAGTTAGTGCAGAAAAAATATGTTATTTTATCTTATTCTTGACTCATCATCATCATTTATATATTGTATGAGTGGTAAACATAAAAAATCGTAGTATCTAAACTATATATAGTATATAGTTTAGATACTACGATTTTTTATGTTTACCTTTAAATTAAATTATATATTTATAAATTTATTCATATAATAATAAATATAAGAAATGTTTCATTGTATTGTATAAATGCTCATTACCATTGTTATTGTTAACTAATAGTGTTAAGATTCATGTTCTTTTGTAAATAAAAATGTAGTTTGTACAACAAATTGTTACTAAAATTAATATATTTTTCATAACTTTTAAATAGAAATTAATATTTCTTTACTTCTACTTCTGCTGCAATAAAGAGTAATAAAAAAATAATAGTATGAATATATGTTTAGCGTGTAAGATGGGGCCGCTATTATTATGATTATGTGTTCTTGTGTTCATGTAGAAGAAGCAGGAAAGGAAATGAAGCGATAAGTCCAGTGATTGCTATTTACATTATGTATATTAACAAAATATTTACAATTGATATATATACAAGAAGGTGATTCGGTCTCGAATGACAAACTTGTTATTCTTCTTGCCCCATCGTAATTAGGCAACGGTGTTGCCGCACGATGATAGTAGATTCGCCACATATGTATGTATTTATATTTATTTGAATAAATAATTATAGAGATTAAATATATTAAGAATATTAAAAGAATTATCTATATAGCCATTAAATTAATTGAATGTAGCTAAGTATGAAAGAATGAGTGAATGACATAAGAGTGTGCAATGAAAAGGAGTGATTAGGAGAATGGATTAAGAATAGGGTAAGACAAAAATAAGTGTTACTATTAAAAATATATTGTGTTAATAAAAAGACTAAGAACAAGCTACCAGATTTTATTAAAAAAAACACATCAACATCACATATACATAACATACCTCCACGACTGTTAAAGCAAGTAGTAGAAAATCTGCTTCGAGCAGTACAAAGCTCAACATCACAGGCTTCATCCTCAACAACCAGTGGTTGACGTCAAACGTCGCTTTGATGACAACATAACTCTATCGACCACTGAGTCGCTTCTCATCGCTGCAGACGCTCACCACGCGACAAGTTTCATCACCAATCAAAAGGGTGAATACTCCATCCCTATGTAATATTAAAATACAATTGTTGTTACAATAAACGCTTTGAGCAGTATAAAACTCAATACCACAGGCGCCATCCCCAGCAACTAGTGGTTGACGTCAAACGACGTGTTGATAACGACATAACACTATCGACCACTGAGAAGCGCCGCTCATCACGCGATATGTTTCATCACCAATCAAAAGGGTGGATACTCCATCCCTATGTAATATTATTGTTGTTACAATAAAGGCTATGAGCAGTATAAAGCTCAATACCACAGGCGTCTTCTTCAACAACCACTGGTTGATGTCAAACATGGCGTTGGTAATCTGAGTTTATTTCAATGGGCATATGTTTTATTTTAAACCCGTAGTGTATTGAATGAATAAATCTAAACACAATACTACCCAATATACGAGGTTACATCATCAATTTCAGTCCCAGATAAAAGATTAAACGTCAAGATAAGAAATAATGCTCATTTTATAATTAAAATATTGTTATCAGTTATCACCTCAGTGTGGCCATAATTTTACAAACATCTACATCATTTCATTCAGTAATCACTGAACAAAACATAAGTCAAAGAGAGTCGTACCGAGCCTGCCGAGTGATTAAAAAAATAATACTGATAGTATTACCACAGATAACATAGTATTACATAGTATTACGTAGTCCGTAAAGGACACGTTGTAGTGATGAACGTGTCGATATGTTTTCAAGTAGTGACTTTCATAATAAGCTGCGTTGTGGCACAGAATCATGTACTTGCCAATTGGACAATTGAAATAGCTCAAAGATTAGTCGAAGGTTCTAGAGCTTCAAATGGCGATTTTTTTACTTTCCGTAATATACAGTATGGTGAAAGGATAACCAAAGAAACTATGTTTATGGTAAGTGTTTCTTTATTAAATGTTATTGCAGACTAGCTTATCGCGACGACGTCCGCGTGGAATTTAACTTTTTTTCTAAAATAAAAGTAGCCTAAGTTACTCCTTATTACATCAGCTACCTGCCAATAAAAGTCCCATCAAAATCGGTCCAGCCATTTCAGAGATTAGCCGGAACAAACAGACAGACAGACAGACAGACAAAAATTGTAAAAAATGTTATTTTGGTGTATGTACCGTATTCATATTCATATGGATGTAGTAAAAAACATTACAAGCTTATTTTAATATTACAAAACAGTCACTCCAATTTTATTTATATGAATAGATAAACTAACAAAATAACCATTCGCTTGTCTTTGTGTTAAAATGTGAAAATAAGATAAAATTATACAGAGTTAGTTGCAGGTTTATGTTACTCAGTGAAAGTGTTTCGTTACCTATAGGTACTCACTTTAGAGTTAGTCATGAGGGGTACTAAACTTCTTAAATACGTATATAGATACAAGCTTATATATTTCTTCCGGTTCTTTAATTTATTTATGAATATGATAGTGTTAATTAATTTCATATTCTCTGTTAATTTTATAATTTGCTGTAGCCTTCATACATATAAAAGAGATGTAATTTTTTAAAATTAGTTTGTTGTTAATTGTGAAAGCCTGTCAGTGGCTTAATATGACATTTATATTGATTTTATTTAAGTATAGTCAGCCTTGGTTTTCCTTTAATAAATAAATAAATGAATTACCAGTGGCCTAATTGAGACTAATACTTATATTGCTTAATAATATATCTCGATACAGATTTCATCCAATTTATATCTTATTAATGGTCATGACGTATAGTCATGATGCGCATTGGGATGCCCAAAACACTAAGTAATATAGTAGTAGTAGATAAAGTATCTTATCTGTGACTCTACGAAAATCAGCACCAAAAAGCTCGTGCGCTTGAGTTGGTGCTAGAAATTTGTTACTTTCTTTAAAATATAAATGTATTGGTCGCCAGTAGTCTGAAATTAATTTATTTCAATTTTTATTTGTAACCTCCCCACGCTCTTATTCATAAGCCTTATGTACTAAAGCGACCTATGCTGTTTAGTAAAAAGTATCTGTGGCTCAGATATACAATATCTAGTCTGTGTAATGTCTTTAATATTTAAGGAATCTGCTTTCCATACTTCCCTGTTCGCGTAATTTTCCATACTTGTTACTCATGCGTTACCGATTTTTCACCACACAATTGAACTACAGATTACAAAGCAAACACCTGGCGGCTTAAACAGATGAGTCAGATATAAGACAGATTTTTTATAATTTCTTTTTCGTTTATTTTTTTAGTACAATATAGAGATAATAAAAACACTGCATCTGCATATACTGGTTCAAAGATCTTTTTGTAATTTTTGTTATGATCGAATTTCGATAACTGGGCAACCGCTAGTAATTATGATTAAATTAACGAAATACAATCTTTTCTTAATAAATGATGATATTGATTTGAGCAGCTATCAAAAAATATAATATTAGGCTGTATTTACTTATGAAGAAAATCTCTACAACGTATCCTACGTGGATCATTAGTACGTTATAGAACAGTATTGAGTAAAACTTGTGTGTTAGAATATATTATATTATTTACATATTTTATTCTAATAGAGATAAAACCCTATGCCAGTCAATAACAGTCCACTTCGTCTGATCTTAACGAAAGTTACCTAAACATAATTACCGAATATAAAAAAACAGAATTTAATGATCCTCTTCGTTGCAGGCACCTCAAATGGCAAGCTCCGGTTTAAAAGTTACGCATTATAAGAGCAAGTACTATTCACCATGTTACCAATCACCGAAAACATATACAGAAGACTATTTAAAACTAAACGTTTCCGCAAAAAAAAATAATGTTTCTAAACCTGTCATAGCCTGGCTAGAAGGAAAAGAATATTCTTCGCTTGAAATGACAACTTTGTTCAAGAATCTCGTTATGGAGGATATTGTGGTGGTGACAATAAACTATCGTATATCTATATTTGGATTTCTATGTCTCGGTGTTCCGGAGGCTCCTGGCAATGCTGGCCTAAAAGATGTTATATTGGCACTACAATGGATTGAGGAAAATATAAATAAATTTGGAGGTGATCCAAAAAATGTTATGCTTCTTGGACATGGATCTGGAGCTGCAATGGTCGACCTGATCACTATGTCCCCATTCTCGGAAGATTTGTTACATAAAGCATTCGTTATCAGTGGATCAGCATTAGCACCTTGGGCTATATCTTATGACCCAATCGGTTATGCTAATATTGTAGCAGAAAACCTACAATACTCTGGAAAATCACCAATGGAATTAGCAATGAAATTTAAATCCACTCGTCTTAATGTATTACTAGCTGCTCTTGAGGTTGAATTTACCAATAATACCGCATTGTTTGCTCCTTGTGTCGAGAACGACAAACTTCAGAATGTTTTTCTTAACGATACCCCAATAAACATATTGAAGAGTGGTAGTTTCAACCATATACCTTACGTGGCCGCTTACACCCATAGAGAGGGAACGATAAAAGCTAAAGAATTTCTTGATTGGCGTCCCAAAATGGAATCAGATTTTACTCAGTTCATTCCAGGGGATTTAGAATTTGGTTCTGAAATCAACAAGACTATAGCGATGAATAATATACGTGAGTTCTATTTCCACAACACTACCAGTATTAACATAACAGAGTATCTGGACTATTATAGAGATACCTCAGTTATTGTGCCATTAATAAGAGGTGTTACAGCCAGAGCAGAGACGTCGACAGCTAACGTTTATTTACTTGAGTACGCGTACCATTGTATATCTAACGCTGACTGGCCTTTCAACGATATTTCAGTGGTAGAGAATGGTATTAAGCAAGGTAGCCGGGATAATGTATTGTATAAAAATATGACAAAGCACGAAGAAGATGCGAAGAGATCACTTATAAATTACATCATATCGTTCGCAAGAACTGGGTGAGTTCAAACTTTTTTTTATACAAACACAGCAGCACAGGGGACAAACGAGCTCGTGGCTCTGAAGATCAACACGTAAGTCTCATTCTTCGTGTGATGACTCTGCTTTCCGAATAAGTGATAGAATAATAAAATATATAATTGTTGAAAAGCGCTTACATTAAGTTTATTTGAATAATGACTATTAATGTTTCTATTACGTTTCCAGAGCACCCAATATAGTATCAGAGCACCCAGCACGGCAGTGGCTACCGGTCAACAATGAGACCATCAACTATCTGTACATCGGTGGTGCATGTAATCAAAAGCATACAGAAGAACTGAAACAGAATCCCTACTCCAAGTCAATGAAGTTATGGACCGATCTATATGACCATTACTATAAGACTCCCTTGAAGTATTCTGACTCCGGGAATGCTAATAATTATTTCCGTATTTTAATTCGAATTACTATATTAATTGGCCTATTACTCCTTTACTGCTGCTTTAGCCGAATTATTCGAAAGTAATATAATATTACTTTCGAATAATTCGACTAAGGCCAACCAAAAAACCAAACAAATAATAAATCGCAACGATATGGAAATGGGGAATAATCTGAATAACGAGTGATCTGTCCTTTTAAATTTATTATTTTTTGTAACAAAATGAAACAAGAATTTCACAAAGGAGAGAGAGAAAAAGAAGACAGAAAGCATAAGGTGTGAATATATAGATTGAAGACCTCGGTGGTCTGGCGGTTTAAGCACACCGCTTTACATCCGATGGTCGCGGCTTCGGTTCTTCGCACGGTTTTACTGTATATAATATGTTACGTACATATTATATATAGAAAAAACCCAGACCGACACAAACAATCATGCTCATGAATACAAATGTTTGCGCCGAGCGAGGAAGTGAACCCGCGACTATCGGAAGTAAGGCCGTCAAATCAACTTTTTGTATTGTTTTAGTTGTCAAACGATATGACAGTCTTGACCTTTTTCAATGTGGATTTTGAGAGCATGTCTAAAATTTTTTATGATTCTCTGTGATTTGTTTAAAAGTAATAGATTCATTTGTTTCTAATATTTACAATTGTGTACAAAATTGTGTTTAAAATGACATGTCTATCATATTATTTTTAATTTACACGCATACTATTTTTTTATTACATAATTAGTTATAAAAGCACGACATATTGTATTGACTGTTTTTTATGTTGGTGATCCTAAAAAGTAAATAAATAAATACTTTTAGTAGGGCCGATATTTTTTTTGTTTTGAACCTATTTACCTAAAACAAAAAATACGACAAGGAATTGCCTAGAGCTTGATATTAAGTTTATTATTATAGATATTATTATATAGATAAATATTGTTGTATATCTTATAATATACCTATTTTATACTATTATCTTAATGTAAATGTCCTGAAAAGAATATCATTTCATATTCCACTATTCAGTTCATTATATTTAAATCAAAATGTTTTATTTCAAACTTGCGTTACTGGAACCTATTTTTTTCTATTTTTTAACAGAGCTTAGTTTATGAGTGATAAACCGTGAAGCCTGTGAAGACACCAGGAGACTTCCGCGCTTTTAGGAGGAGCTGGCTATTTTAGTAGTCTTGGTTCTACACGCACAACAGCCCAGATGAGAGGCCAACTGCGGAAAATGGAGTCCAACTTACCTTTACATTTTATGAGTGCTAAACAACTGTCTATCAGGTATTCTTATATTTTTTTTTATTAAATACATGTGGAGCATGATAAGATGAGCTTGAGGTCAGTTCAGTTAGCCCATCGTTGTAAATTCACCATGAATTTGTCACGATCTTTTCTAGGGGAACCGCTAGTGACTCGCAATTAACTCAGGGCAGCGCTAATCGATAGGGCTGAACTCATTCGAAACTGTTATAAGTAGGGTTACTTGTAAGTAGGGTTGCTATCCATCTGGGTATTCTGGATATTATGAATATATAAAATTAATAATAATATTATGTATATGAGCGTCCGGGGCAATGTATGTTTTATTGTTTAGTTTTAATATTAAAGTATATTAATAATTTGTGTTTTATTAAAGAACAAAAAATCGAACTGATTATTAACAGAATTTATAACAAACTGTAATTTGTAACATTTAATTTTAAGGTATGAAAATAAATAAATAGGTGATTTATGACATTATACTATTTTTTATTATATTGACTATGACTAAAAAACCTATTGACATGTCCGGGTTCTGTGACTATAACTAGACTGACTAGTTCTGGGACTATAAAATACGGGGTTTTCACGCGTTTAGTACTGTTTTACAAATTTTAGAGATGGCAACCCTACGTACAAGAAATTCAAATTAAAAAAACTAATTCACATGATGGTAAATAGTAACCGTCACCAATATATACATTAACAGTGCTACTGGCATCACGTTATCATGTGATGGCCGTGACACTTTATCATTTTTGCCTCAGTTTCAAACGACTTTTTAAGTACGAGGCCTACATTCGTAATTTTATCAGTATAAATTAGGGCTTTATTATGAGATAACTGAATATGGTCTGAATATGGTGGAATGGTCTGTTCAGGTTGTGACACTGATTAAATTTTTTCTTTGCGATAGCATATGCTGGTGGTCACTCTATTCTCCCAAATTTGAATTTTAATAACTGTATTTATCATAAACATGTTCCACTATTATTTGAAAAAAATACGAGCTGTGTTTCTTGTCAGTTCTTCTCATCTCGATATCATTCCGAACTGACGGTAGATTTGACATATCATAAGAGTCTGTAATAGACCTACATGAATAAAGATATTTTGAATTTGAATTTGAATACTAATTTGAACGAACGAAAATTCGTCTGCTTTTTAGCACACACAAAACAAAGTGTTGTTGGTTGTAAATAAAAGTAGGTAAAGATCAATATGGTATATATTTTGCACTCCATAAGGAATACAAAATTCCCTTCATATTTATATGTAAAAACTAGTGTTTATAAATCTAAAATAGACTCCCTCAGAGACAGATGTCATCAGTTTTCTAAACCTTTCATCAAGCTCACAAGAACTAGGGGTTGTTTAAGTATGCTGTAAAAATTTGGAACGACTTGCCCCCGCCAGTTCGTTCAACACTGATTTTATCCTTATCAATATTTAGGCGCAAATGTTGCAAATGGTTACTGCAAGAACAATCCCTCGTTTCGTAGTATTGTAAACTACTGCGTTGTGTCGATATGTGTGCGTACACGCAAGTCTGCGTCTGATGGTATATCCTTTGATAAAATAATCCTGAATAATTCTTAGTTTTAATTTAATGTTGTAACTAATCCTGAATAATGTTTAGATTCTATATATATAAGTTTGTTATTGTCCAATCTTATTAGTTTGTAATCTTGTTACAATTTTTATCTTTACTTTATTAGTTGTAGTTTAGAACTTAACTTAATGTGCTATCATTGTCGTCGATCTCATATTGTATTATTTTACTGAATGAGTCTATAACAGAATAACAGAGAGGGTGGACTCACTGCCCTCACTGAGTTATAGACCGTTCGGTCTCATTCATTAGTTTTAAATTATATTATTGTATGGGCAACAGTTGTATTGTGTGAAAAGTTTTTGTTTGAGACAAATAAAGATTATTATTATTATATTATTATTATATATCCCTCCCTATAAAGGAGATTCAGAGACCTATGTATGGTACATTGGGAGAATCTCCTTTATCATTCTTTATCGTCAGGATAACCTCCACGCAGTTCCCCCTGGAAATCAACGAGCTATATTCTTAGCGAATTTGTCACATCTAGACACAAGGTGGGTAGTGCCCACACAAGCATGCATAGAGATCGTAATGACACGACTTTGGCGTTGCGCCAACAATAACAACTAACAAGAATGTTATAGTGTGAAGTAAATGAATTTTATGTTCATTGAAACAATATAATACGTTCAGAAAGTAAACAATAACTGGATGTTTTGTCTATGCTTTTTTTTAATAGTAAAATTTATTTATTCCATTCCATTATGAATATTCACAAAATTGTTTTAACATTAAACATATCGCTGATTAAATGCCCAAGCGCCACAAGACGCAAAACGGTAAATTTTACCGGAAAGCCTATCAAAAGTTTCACTGTGTTAATTATACTATTTTTACGAATCTATAAAAGGTATATCTATGTATTAGCTTTAAAATCATGGGTGTCTTTATTAATATAAAAATTATAACGATTTAGATATCTACCATTTTTGGAAAAAAAAATATTTCAGTTTTTTTTTGCGTTGTGGCCCTTTGGCATTTATTCAGCTAAATATACAGGATATATAGAAATAGAAATAATCTTTATTCAAATAAACTTAATATAAGCACTTTTGTATAGTCAAGTTTTTATTCTACCACTCATTCGGAATGCAGATTCATCACAAGAAGAATAAGCAAGAAACTTGTGTGTTGCTCTTTTAATATTGATTTACTTATATTTAATTAACAACAAGGATTAGGCATGCGACAAACAATATAGAAACCGCTACGCACTTAATCTCTGTTCAATCAGATAACATTGTCAGCGCTATGCATTTTAAGTTAGATAGATATTTTCTACAAAAACGTTATTATCTTATTATCTTCATTATTATAAAAAGCTTTATTATAAAGAATATATTTTATAACAATTTTTTTCTGGTAAATTCAGTATATATAACAATATAAATGAATGGAACTGAATCTGTCCTACGAAAACCTGTGTTACCGAATTACGCCCCCACACTCGGCTAATGGGTAATCAGACAGTTTACAACTTTGAAAAGAATTAGAAAAATTCAGACTATAGAACACAGTAGTATATGTGTGCGTGTGTGTGTATGTGTGCATGTGTGTATTTGTGATGATGATGATCTAAATCTGTAGATCAATAGACTGTGGTTACGGCATATCCTGGATATGTAAATTTAAATCTTAACTACAGCATATTGCTATGTAACTGGTAACTGTGTAGACATGTCTTATCTGTGGTGGACAATAAACGTAGCAATGTATCAATTTGTAATAAACACTTAATGATATGACCACCTTGTTGTGGTCTTTCGCTAATTAAAAATGCTGACTATCTCTATACATTTATTATTTACATTCATTTATTTTCATGCTTAAAACTGTATAGTACCTATACTGATACATACAAATTATGTCTAAATCGATAATTAGCAATATGTACAGATTCCACATAATAATATAGTATATATTAGATTATAGGTGTATTCTCTTAATATGTAGTAACATTTTTGTGACATATTCGATTTCTAGCACTTGTAAGATACATTCATATTTATTTATATATAAAGAATGGTCACTTTTATCATTACTAGCTACCCGCCCCGGTTTCACACGGGTGTACATGTATTACACATATAAACGTTCGTCTTGAATAACGCAGTCTGTTGTTAAAAACTTCATTGAAATCCGTTGCGTGAATAAACCGCGGAAGCGACTTCATTTTAGACTATGTAAAGATCTGTAAGAGATCACGGATCTAAAATAGGAACACTATATAATGTTTATACCACAGTAACATTATACGCGTTGAATAAAAATCTAATAAATTGTTTATTTATTTAAGTCAGGCAGCTAATAGCCCGTATTATAAATACAGATAGACTAACATACATATGAATAAACTAAATTAGCCATTACTGCAAACGACTACTTTGTTGACAACAAAGATAACATAATATTGTTACTGAGATTTTATAAAATTATGTTTTTGAATATGTAAGTTGATGGTGGAATAATAAATAAATAAAGAGAGATATAAAAAATATTATAATATAAAATAATCCATATAATCCTCTACTGGTGCCCCGGTATACACTAACCGCATCTTAGAGCCGCTTCTGCCCTTGTGTCAGAACAGACATGTGTGGAACGAACGCGGCTCTACCGCCCTGCTCAGTCTCAGGGTTCTAGTCCGCCGACCACACAAAAAAGGACGATGGACTGGTGCGCCACATATTCCATCTCCCCCCCCCCTCCTCCTCCTCCTCACAACACGTGGCGGTCCAATATACATGGTCATCGCGCATGTCTTATAAATAAATGGATCTTGATTCTGACTCAATAATCACTGTAAATGTATTACATTTTTATTTTATAAATTGCGATTGCTCAGAAATGCTGGTTGGTTTTTT